GGATGGTAACTCGCTCGTAGTTCGTGGAGTGTCGCCACGTAGGATAATAGTTGTCTTATTTTGAACAAAATATGCTGTTCCTCGTCAAATTAAACCCAGAATTCTCAAGTTTACTATTAGAAGAGACCAAAGCAACTTAAGCATTGTCTTTATTTTTATTAGCTGCGAAAGAAAAACGCTATTGTCGTGTGGTTTCGGTTGGACAGCTCAGTTTTGGCAGCCGCTCGTACAGCGGGAGCTGCCGCCGTATGCATAATGCTCACGGCTCCCAAGGAGCTTGGGATACCTTTACTGAAACGGCTGATATTTGTTGATTGTCTGCCAGCTTTTCAGCCAGAAGGTAACAAGGTAGCCGAGTTGACTTTATTAAAGATCCAGAAAACGTCCTAAATTTTAATTAGTTTTAAAACCAAACCGTTATATTTTAGGGTCGTTTTTCACAATTCAGGCTAATTAGGTTGTTAATAGGTTCCTAATTTTCAGTGGTTGTCCTAGTGGAAGCATTCGCAGAAATATTGTACTTTTTATGCATAATAATTAATTTTAGCACTTGTATTTTCAACAACAAAACTGCTTGCGTTGTTTGCAAAGAAACAATATATACACAATAACTTTTTGTCAGAAGTTTCTCACACAATTAAAATNTGGCGGGTAAGTTGAGTATTAGAAAGGGGATCATGACTTCTGTAATCACCATCTTTTTTCTCCGCCATGTTCGATTTATATTGGGAAATTTTAATCTAAACGTTGATTGGTCAGATTCCTAGCAACGGCAGCCATTGTCATGTTAGCTGGCACAGATGATCATCCAACATCGCTGACACCCTTAGTATTAAATTTAGAGAAGGTGGGTTTAACCCATTTAGAACATGAGATACGGGTAATTCAGCAGGCGACAAAAACTTTACCGTCCTGACGTCAATGTAAGTTAACATGAAAGGCATTGAAATCAGGCAACTTTTCTTATGGAGATGGCATTAAATGTTCACGAAAAGGGATTTACAATTCCAAAAACCATACAGGATTGTAAAAAGTGAAAAATAATCCTAATTTGGGTCAAAAATGGGTGGCCGGCGTCCGGCATGGCAACTCGCTGGTAGTTCGTCGAGTGTCGCCAGGTAGGATAATAGTTGTCTCATTTTGAACAAAATATGCTGTTCCTCGTCAAATTAAACCCATAATTCTCAAGTTTACTGTTAGAAGAGGCCAAAGCAACTTTAGCATTGTCTTTATTTTTATTAGCTGCGAATAAAGACGCTATTGTCGCGTGGTTTTGGTTGGACAGCTCAGTTTTGACAGCCGCTCGTACAGCGGGCGCTGCCGCCGTATGCATAATGCTCACGGCTCCCAAGGAGCTTGGGATACCTGTGCTGAAACGGCTGATATTTGTTGATTGTCTGCCAGCTTTTCAGCCAGAAGGTAACAAGGTAACCGAGTTGACTTTATTAAAGATCTAGAAAACGTCCTAAATTTTAATTAGTTTTAAAACCAAACCGTTATATTTTAGGGTCGTTTTTCACAATTCAGGCTGATTAGGTTGTTAATAGGTTCTTAATTTTCAGTGGTTGTCCTAGTGGAAGCATTCGCAGAAATATTGTACTTCTTATGCATAATAATTAATTTTAGCACTTGTATTTTCAACAACAAAACTACTTGCGTTGTTTGCAAAGAAACAATATATACACAATAACTTTTTGTCAGAAGTTTCTCACACAATTAAAATCCAGAATTTAGACAAGTTCTTACATTTTTGGGTATTTAAATGCCAAATTTCAACCTCAAAGTTCTTATATGCAGGTTTTTACTGTATCCCTGGATCTGAGATTACACCATTGTACCTCTCAAAATTGTGGAATACTGATTACTTTCTGACAAATGTATTCTTATGAGTAGAAAAAAAGCTTAGAGGCCTCAATGTCAATCGACTTTTTTCACTTCGTGTCTCATTTATTCCCGCTCTCCTTCGAGATTGTTCAACCGGTTAAAACAGGTTTTCGATGGACGTCACTCACGCGTCAGGTGTGACACTAGCATCCATTTCAACTCATTTCCGATCGACACTCTGATAAATGTAACAAAAAGAAACAGAACCAATTTCATTGCCTTTAATTAACATTATACACCTAAAATCTACATGTATTAGATAAAAAATTGCATATAGTGTTTGTCTGTCTGGCATTGTTATAGAGGTGGAATTTTTTCCCCATCATTCTATCGTAAGGCAGTCATTAAGAGTTAAGCGCGGTGTTGCCAGTTAAAGTGATTATTATAACTTATAACTGTAGCCAAAGAGAAGCGACATTTTTTTCGTATTAGTAATGCTAGAAATTTATAAATATCCTTACAGAGTTAACTTGTTAATCAAATTTTAAATCTATAGTTTCTAGAAGCAGCCTTACAGTTATTCCTTACTTTCCTAAGCGAAAAGTGACAAAGCCTTTCATTATGACAAGATAATGTTGAACTTTGTTCAAACACTTGACATATGCTTGAACGCAACTTAACTATAACTACCCTGAGTTTGAAACGTGAGTGTATTGGTACTAGTTTACTGACTATGTAAAATTACCTCGTGACATTTAAACCATTTTCGCCCTAGTTGTTGTAAAAAGTACCTGATAAGTTATTCGTATTAGTGGGATAAGCCACCCATGGAATTAAAGGAGCTTAGTCACGATATTTTGAGTTGTTCTGGCCACGTACAAAATCACCTTTCAATTGAAGGAAATAACAGTTTACTAAGATAGAAATACACCAAGGAAAAAATAATAAACCATAAAAGAACAAGGATGTTTAAGGATGGAGAAGATTAACACGGATTACAAATGAAGAGCTTGAAAAATATGGCCTATACGTTTCAAATGCGCAAACTGTGACTTAGCTCCTTTAAAGATGCCAAACCAATGGAATAAGGACATTATGTACATTTGATTTCTCTTTCTCCTCATTTGCGTTCTGCTTTGTCTGCTGGTTTGTCCATGGGGTGATAACCAATCTGGGCCCATCGTAAAATTATGCTGGTTGCTTTTTAATTTTGAAAACAAAAAATTCAAAATATTTTTCGCGTAAAGAAACTTGCCAACCCGAATCCTGAGTTGGTACACAAAATCACATCAAGCGATATTATGTGGCCGTGTCTCGTAAGGACTGGTAACTAGTACCAAATTTCACAAATGTGATGGGCCAAAATCGATATTGCCCGCGGTCTAGGATACGAAATTGAGAAATTTTTGTAAGTAGTCCAGAAATTAAAAATACTCACTACAAGACCAAGGTAATATTAGAAGCTAGAAAAATTAAAAAATAAACCAGTCAGTGAGTTCGACCTTCTTCTGACCAAAAGTTTTCATCCCAGTTCGCAAGCAAAACGGCAGCGACTATGAACCGGCTGCATAAAGCGACTTTCAGCGAATTGTAGTCTTGTTTGGCCATGTAATAAACATCTTATCAACCGAGCTTGACTGCGTTCGGTCTGTTCTCACGACCACGGTCAAGATTGTCGTATACAGACTTCCTGATCTAAGTACATTTTGAGTTTGAATTCCTTGTTACATCATTCTGCATGTAAAAATATCACATTTTAATCTACAATTTAATTTTGTGTCAGATATTATATTCTCTGGCGGAACAACGTGTACACATCATTTCCTACGAAGAGCATTGA